TCACACATGCACCTCTAGGGTAATCTTGCTTTGTTACCTCGGAAAATAGTCATGTCCCTCGAATATGGGCGTTTTAGCAAAGACCCTCGATAAAAGATCGTAGTCCGTCAATGTCCCTCGATGTTGCCTTTGATAAATGATATAATCCCTAAACGAATATTGCTAAAACGTCTCATAGGTTACCTTTTATGACTATACAATTGACCCACGCCCGTCCCTTCACATCCAACGATAGGGCTTCTTATCAATCAATGGTAACATAGCAACATCTAAAGGAGGAGGAAAAGAACAAAAACCTTTTGAGTAGGTAGGATGCTCATAGTTGCTTGCTCACAACTAAAAAAACATTTTTACACCAACACCTTCAATTGAAACATTTTCAAAAGTCAAAACTCTTTGTACGCATTCTTATAGAGACGAGAATCATTACAAAGGCGTTTTTCAAAATCACTTTCAAAAACATCTTCCATAACAAACACCTCTTTGAACTATTTTCAAAACCAACACTTTGTACGCATTCTTATAGAAACGAGAATCATTACAAAAACGTTTTCAAAAAATTTTCAAACTCACACCACAAAGCACACTTTCAAACAAAAGCAAGTGGTTTAGCAAGCAACTAAGAGCCCGTAGATAACTACGGATGAAAAGGGTGCTAATACCTTCCCTTTAGCAAAGATAAAATAATTGAAACAACACACTTGCACATTTGCACCTCTAGGGTAACCTCCCTATGTTGCCTTCGGAAAAACAACGATCATGTCCCTCGAAAGTGGAGACGCTTTAGCAAAAACCCTCGAATCAAAGATCATAGTCCCTTGATGACCCTTCGATGTTGCCTTTCGTAAAATGATCTAGTCCCTTACGAAATTGCTAAAACATCCTTACAAGTTGCCTTCAATGACCGTACGACGATCCTCAATGTCCCTTCACATCCAAAGGATAGGGCTACCTACCAATTAATGGTACGGATAGCACTGTCTCTAAAGGAGAAGGAAAAAGTACAAGAACGACCTTAAGTGGGTAGAATGTTATTAATCGCCTGCTCATATACTTTTCAAAAACAAAACATTTCTCGCAAACATTTTTCACAAACAAATATTTTCAAAAACACTTTGTACGCATTCTTCATGACTGATACAAGAATCATTACAAAGTTAACTTTTCAAAATATTTTCAAACTCACACACAAATAAAGCAAGATTTTCAAAGTGAGCTAAGCGATTAAGATCCCGTGGATGACTATGGATGAAAAGGGTGATAACACCTTCCCTTTTAATAATCTACCCCCCGAACTCAAAATCTTAAAAGGTTTTTCTTGTTTTTTCACCCTTTCCTTGTTGGATAAAAGAAAAGTCAGTGGCGACTCTTGCTATCCGCAACATTTGCGATAAAACGCAAAACAAGTCAGTTCTCCGACCATATTACACCATCCTACTTCACCATAGTTAGAAAAGCCTATTCTGAATATAATGTTGAGCATCAAATTCCACATCCAAAATCCCAAGCATCTTTCAAAGACACTCACCAACAAGCATGATGTTACAACATCATTTAGGACATCAGCTTCTTACCACAGAAACCATTAACTTTGGTTCTTGGTACACCTTCCATATGACTTATTACTTGTATAAAAGTCCTTATTTCAAGGAATACAAGAAGATCTCAATAGGACACAGCTTTTGCATCTTATCCAGGTTATCACAAACACCAGAATACTATAGAGAGAAATAAACTCTCATACGTTTCTCGAAGCATAATGTTCAGACTACAATCGTTCCTTCTTTTACAGCCTCCTTTAGAGGTACAAGCAACATATAAAGTCACCTCCTCACAAATGGTTGAGCACCACAGAGATCATAATATTTGGTCTGACATCCTTCTTCTGCACACCACTAACACAAATGGATTTTTCATCATGACAAACAGTCATGGCAGATATTCACACCATAAACAACACCAGATTTGGTCAGTGGCTTGACTTTACACTCCACCATGGTCAGATATTCCAATTCTGAATCTAATGGTGATCAGTAATCTTCACACCATAACTCTAAAATAGTTCCAAAAAAACCTCCTTTTCTAGAGAAGTAAACAACTGAGTTAATGTTCCAACATTAGTTCGGACATCAGTCTCAATTACAAGGATTTAACCATTTACCATGGTTCTGGAGTCAACATCTATAGTAATCCATACATGTCCATTTGCAAGGAACACATGAGTACTATACTAGGACACGTCAACAGTTGATCAACCTCCAAGGCCAAATCATAGATACATGCAGTAATCCATATTTTACACATCTCAAGAAGCTTTTTCTCATAAGCATAATGTTTAGACCTCATGTCTGACTTTAAGGTGTTAGTCACCATCCTTATACACCTAAAGAGGAGATTTCCTCTAACTGGTACCAAATTAACTAGCTTCAATCAACAAGGGATATACAAACTTCTGAGCAGAATCGGTTTCCCCTTAGCTATTCAATCTTCACTTCTCTAAGACTTCATAATGCACTGAGTGCCTTTAGGTGCAGCACTTTATTTCTTGCAAGAACTAGTGTTCCATTATGTGAAGACACCACATAACTGGATCCTAAGCATAAGGGTGACCTCTCTTGAGTATACACAAATACTATGGTTGTTTGACATACTTTCCTATAAAGGTGATCAATGGTCTTCTGATCATCCAGTAAGATTGGATCTTCCCTGAATCCACTTTCCTTGTCCATTATATCAGAAAGTATCTTCCCTGAATCTCACCCAAAGACATAAAGAGATGCCTGCTCTGATACCAATTGAAATTTTGGTATTCAAATCTAAGATGCCCTAATACATGTCAAGACATTGATCTCTAAACATAACATACAATGACAAGGTAAACATACATAAAGCAATACTGAAAAGTAAAGAAACACACAAAATTGTTAATTCAGTTCGGTGTGCAACAACACCTACTCTGAAGGCTACCAAGCCATGAAGGAAGTTCACTATTAACAGTATTAGTTCAAAGTTAAACTAGTCCCAAGTTTACAATTTCTCGCTTAATCACTATCCAATACTACTTCTACCTAGGTCTTCCCTAGATATGAAAAATCGCCATCCCACTTTCAATCACTGTAGTGATAAAAGATATATCCCAATCACAGGGTTGTATGTAAATAAGTCACAGTCACATCAACTTGAAACTAAAACTAAATCGAGGTTTACACTTCAATCACAAATACTTAATCTTGCTTAAAAGCATCGACCAAGAACAATACTCCGAGTTGCTTACAAAAAAATTTCAAGAACAATAAACTATATGCTTAAAAGCTTATGAGCGATTCATAGTTACAACTCAACTTACAACAGTCCTACTCTTATATCAATTGATATTAGAGAGGCTCACAAATAACACAAACCAACTCTTCTAGAGAGTGGCTCACAGACAAAACCCTAATATATGATATTTTTACATACTTGACTCGTATCTTCTTTAGGTTTAGAATCTTCTATTTATAACTTTTTTATAACTTTTTTCTAGACAGAATTTGAACTTCAAAACGCAGCAAAACAGTTGCTAAAAATGCTCCAAGATATTCTCCACAAATTTAAGACTTCAATCATTTAATTTCCTAAAAAATTTCCATATTTAAAAACTGATAATACACCTTAAAAACATATAGAATCGTCTATCCTTAATAAAATTTTATATATTTTTACAGGGTAGAGAAATAAATATTGGGGTTTGGAATAAAATCTTAGTTAGTTATGTGGGCCTCAAAGCCCAATAAACCACGATAAGGTCATAAATATTGTCAAATTCTCTCGTGTTCCGGAACCTACCAGAAACATTGAGTTTTGTGATAGAAACTCGTAGAATTTCCAATGCGCTCTGTTTTCTCTAGAACCTCCCGTATTCTTCCTACCACCCTTTTAAATTCCACACACACTCCATTCTCAGTTGGTTCATAACAAAAACAATCAAAAAGCAAAACACCAAATCATACCCACAAAAAGAAAGCAATGGATTTCAGGCTAATGGGTTTGGATTCTCCTCTGTTGAACACTCTCCACCACATTATTGACTTCAATGACGACGCAACCGACAAGAATTTAAACGCTCCAACAAGAACATATGTTCGTGATGCAAAGGCAATGGCTGCAACTCCAGCGGACGTGAAAGAGTATCCAAATTCATACGTTTTTGTAGTGGACATGCCTGGGTTGAAATCTGGTGACATTAAGGTTCAGGTAGAAGATGAGAATGTGCTAATGATAAGTGGTGAGAGGAAGAGAGAAGAAGAGAAAGAAGGTGTTAAATATTTGAAGATGGAAAGAAGGGTTGGTAAGTTTATGAGGAAATTTGTGTTACCTGAGAATGCTAATGTTGAAGGCATTTCTGCTATTTGTCAAGATGGTGTTCTCACTGTTACTGTTAATAAATTACCTCCACCTGAACCCAAAAAGCCTAAGACTATTGAGGTTAAAATCGCTTGATCGGTGTTCGTTTTAGCCGTTTGTAGATTAACGGTTATGTCTGTGTTTTTCTCTTTCTCTTGTTTGTTTGTATGGTAATGGTTGAGTCTTTTCGCAGGTTCTTCATATGATGATCATGCGATGTAATGTGTGCTAATGCTTTAATAAAATATATGAAATTGAGTTTTTTTAATTTTGCTTACATTATTCTTTATCATGTTCGTATCGTTATTATTTACCATGTTTGTTCTATTATTTGTTCCTTAGTATGTTTGAATTGAAATGATCAAATGATAATAAACATGTTTGGATTTTAGCTAACATGTTTTGATTGTTCTTTGTTTGTAGATGCATGTTTTAATTTTGACTTGAGTTTTGACATTTGATTGATAATTGTTTGATTTTATTATTAATAAGGGTTCGGTTAGGTTTTTAATTAGAGTTTTCGATTGATTTTTGTAAATTATTATAATAGATTGTTTTCTGTTGTTGAGTTTTGTAAATTATTATATTATTGTTTGATTGATATTATATTTTCTTTCATGTCTTTTCAAAATTCATCATTGACTCCAACTATAGATGATCTTAACATTGAAATAGAGTTTGATGGGATTGGGGAAGAGAAGACAATAGATGAAACTATAGAGATTGATGAGATGATTGATTTGGAGTTTTCCGTACTAACGGAGAATATTACTCAAAATACCACTACTACTGATGGGTCAACCTCTTCAGGTGATCAAGATCAGAGTACTCAGAAATGACTTTGATAAAGCTCTCCGTTCTAAAAAATCAATAGTTCATATTGAAATGTAATTTATTGAAATGCTTGATGATATTAAGAAGTGGAAGTGCATATGGTATAGTAAGCTTTACATTTATGATGTGAAGTGGAAAAGTACTTTTAATGATAAGAAACATTTAGAAGCTTGTATCCTGAGAAAATTGAGGTTGAAAGGTTATAATAATAAGTGGTGAGAGATCTCACATGAGAGAAACTAAAAGGATTTTGAGATACTTGAGTAGTATAATGGATTATGAAATTTTGTTTCCAACTTCTGCAAAGAAGTCTAATACAGATATCATATATTATTAGGATGTTGACTAATGTGGTGATAGAGTTAAAGAGAGAAGCATCATTGACTACTACTTTAAATTTCTTAATTCATCAATTTTCTGGTGTTTAAGGAAACAACTTAGCACTCCCATCATGTGAAATAGAATATATAGTTGAATCATATGTTGCGTATAGAATCAGTTTTGAAGGAATTAAAGATTGAGGTTAAGAAGTCAATTAAGCTACAAATTGATAACTAGACAGTTATCAATCTAGTAAAGAATTTAGTTTTATATGTCAGGAGCAAACACTTTGAATTTAGATTTCATTTCCTGAGAGTAGAGGTTAATCAAAGAAGAATAGAGATTGCACATTTCTCTATTGTTGTACAACTTGTGCAGATATGTTAACCAAAGGGTTGAAGATTGAAAGATTTTTTTCATCTTAAAGAATGCATTAAGTGTGTTTCAAATCAAATTAATAATATAAGATTGAATTCAGGAAACATGTTATTAGTTAATTCAATCCTAAACCAATTACTATGTCTTATAACTAACTTTGTGAATAGTTTACTAGTTATGGAAATTAGTTAACTAGTTTTGAGATAGTCAACAAATAATGTATGTACCATTTGTATGACATCACTAATTACATTGAATAAAATTCAATGTTTTCTCTTATCTTTGATCTTACACTTTCTTCATCATTTCCTTCCTTATAGTGCAAGCAAGCATCTGTTCTAACAATTCTATCTTTTAAATGTCTGAGATCGAGTTGCATTTTCTCGAGTTTGGTACATTTTAAACAATGTCATATAAGGATTAAATGACAAGAAAAAGAAGAGAAAAAAAAAAGAGATGTTCAAAGTTTTTTCTAATGGAAAAATAATTGGATATACGAAAAAAGCAAAACCAATAACAAAAAAAATTAATAAACAAAAATAGAAAAATTGAACCATAGAACTATCTAACCACTCCCTAAAAGGTAATCATCTCAATAAGCCACTAGCTCGAACTACAAACTAGGAAAATATTTCAGACAATAACTTATGGTTGGCCAATGCTGACCATCTTGCAAATTACTATCTCCCAAGCACGGCAGAGATTCTCCTCTCAATCTTTAAAAAGATTATGTTTGAAAGTTCGGAGGAAAATGGAAGGGAGGGTTTTGAAAATAAAGAAGAAAAGAATAAAAAGAATGGAAGGATTTTGATTTGAAGGATTTATTGTTTATTCATAACACAAAATCTTTTTAATTTGGAAAAACTCAATTTATATTGAAAGAGAATTTTTGAGAACTTACATACATTCTTTAAATATTATCTGTCGTTAATTATAACATCCTTTTAATTTTTTTTTTTTTTTTTTTTTTATAAGACTCTTAAGATGAACTTGTAAAAATATATAAACCGTCAATAAATTTAATATTCTAACCAACTTCCTTAATTAGTGTGATTTTGCCTTAGAAATCTTAGAAATCTTATATTTAGGGACGGAGATATTATGTTTTATGTATTTATAATATTCTGAAAATTAAAAATATACTAGATTTTCAAATTTAAATATCAAAGCCAGAGCCATAGAAAGTCAAAGTGTTGTCTATCCTTCAAAAATGTATTTGCGATCGTACCCTAAAACCCCTTTGCCGATATTTTGCACGGGATCTGAGGGAAGGTATAAGGATGCAAAGAGAAATTCCCTTATAGTTGTTCAAAAGTTCTGTATCACACCAGGGACCAAGCAAAAAATATTCAATGCATTGTTAAAGAGAATTAAAAACAAAGATTATAATTTTATCCCTTACAATGGTAAATATGGGAAAGGAAATTGAAAAAAATGCTGCAAACAAAACTGCTTTAGTCTATTTTATGAATGGCTTTTACACTGGCAAGAAAAATATCTTCTATCCCTCCAATTTTGACCACGTAACCACATTTTGAACATGTTAGTGTGAATGAACATCGGTATCTTCCTTCGCACGTTTCTAATTCTGGTAGAATTGGGGAGAGTCTTATTAACATTTTTATTTGACCTCACCGAAAGGTTAGCATCTTTCTTGACAAACAAGGCAATGAAGAAACCCTCTCCATGCTTGGCAGGATCTGTTCGAACCAGGTTTTCAGCTGCAAGATAAGAAAACAAACAATATTAAAATTCACCAAAAAATTATACAACAGAAATACACCAGTAACTGAATAATAATACATACCGCCTTCAAAGACCGGAAGACCACGACACTGCCACTCGGGAAATGGCTTTGCCAGTTGGAATCCATACGACTCGGCTATGGGCAGAACAGATTTCACAACATCTTCATTCTCAATTTGGTTTATGGAACAAGTACTGTATACAATTCTTTTCAAAGCTGGAACTGCCAAAGAAACAATTCTTTTAAGTACTGTATGGGAACAAAATAAAATAGAGTTGGCAATGAGTAACGAGCTAACTCACAAAGGAAAGCATGCTGAAGAGCTTTTCTCTGAAAAGCTGCAAGCTTGTTTAATCTTTCTGTGTCGATATCACCTGCTGCTTTAGACGGAAGCAGATGGTCTAGTCTAGAAGCGGCAGTACCAGAACCAGAGCAGGAAGGATCTAAAAGAATAGCTTTTAACTACATTGATAAATCTGATAACAGTTATACAACGAACAAGTAACAGTTTAATCTGGTAGACGAAGTAACAGGAAATATACTTTACCTTAGAATATGAAGGGTCCTTGGGATTTATGTTCAAGAAATCCTCATTGAGAACCTGTATATCTGAACTTAGTGTTAAGTTAGAAGCATGGCAACAGAAACTAAAATTTATTAACCGAATAAATGGTATCAAAGTTTACAGTGTGCTCCTCTGCTCCAGAGGCATCATGGTACAGTATGCAGAAAAAAGATCTGAACAACTACTAGTATGTATGATTAAATAAAAGTTAAGTTTGTGATTATTGTAAACTGAATTAACTATTGGTTGAAAAGCATCTTGATATTATAGACATAATATTGGATACTGGAAGCGCCGGATAGCTTTACGGTGTCATTCAAGCGCTTAATCCTTTCCTTTTTCAGCTCACATGCTATAATCCTACCCTTTCTCTTCATAAGGGCGGCAAGGTGGACAGTTTTGTTGCCAGGTGCCGCGCATGCATCAAGAACCTTGAAAAAAGAGAAAAACTAATAAGAACCGGAAGAAGTAAAGCCTAATCTAGACGCCTTACAACTATGTAGCACCAACACTCTAAATTGAAGGTGTGTCGTAGCACCAACATTCTAAATTGAAGACGTGTCCGTGTCGTATCACCAACACGAGATTAAGGCGTTAAGTAAGTAACACACAATCACTTTCATTTTTCTCAAAATTATTATCAGTTTCTGTGTCGGTGGTTCATTGTTACAATTGCTTAAAAGCAATATACATATATCCTAAATTCCCAATAGCATGATTAGTAATCTTAAAAGGAACAGATCCATATAAATAGAAAAATATATTCAACAATGAATAAATATGTGTGCTTATAGTTTAACTATTAAAATTTGGTTTCGACTCTCGAAGGGTAAGTGGTCAGACCACTACTAGTCCTGGCTTTCTTTCTACTTAGTTGCCATACCTCTTATTTGATTACCAAAAAACTATGAGAAAACTAGAAAGACACAAAAAGAAAGTACTCCACGGTGTATCCATTAACCACATACTGCCAAAGCAAAATACAGCAAACTTTTTTAATACGAACTGATTTTTTGGGAAATCCAAACAGAAGGAACATGTGCCAGGTCACAATGTAAAGCTCTAGACCCAGAATGATAAGAAAATTAGAAATTAAACAGCAAAAGATGATGTTTACATGGGTTATGAGGAGCTAAAGTGGAGAATACCTATGAAATGGATTATCTTCAATCAGATATATAATATATGATTATATGTATTATGCAGCAATAACTCACCTCCCATCCTGGTTCAGGGCTAAGTGCCGGTGCCACCATGGAACTCGCCTTGCCCTAAGTTAATGAACAACAAACACCAAGAATTGCCCTGTCAGTAAATTTCTTAAATAGCAAAAAAAATCAGTTTGTAATTCTTAAGATCTATATATAAATATAGGAAGAACGAAGGGTTGATTCCTACTTGCAGAAATATGCTTCCATTCTTGACAAGAGGATGATCATGTAAATCGGTTCCTGGAGGGAGCACTAATAAGTCAGGCAGTAAATCATCCTTTTGAACCTATTTGACACATCAAAAATATAATCTCAGTCAAACAAAACGTAGAGCACTAGTTTGAATCAAGGATGGACACTCTGAGAGGCTTTTACAAATTCATTTCCATAAAGAAAAATGACAATGTAAAGTGCAATATGATAATCAGAAACTCTCTGACAAAAATACCGAGTATTTTTTCTGAAGTTCAACTAAGGCAGAATCAACATCCAGTTTAAGTGTATTCACACGAACATTTCGAGGTACAGAAATATCTGCACAAGAAAATTTCAAACAGTTTCCCAGTCATTATGACAGTAGAGCAGTAAACCAGAAACTGAGAATGTATGAAATCTAAAAAATTATCCCTTACAGATTACATGCTATGAACTAACAATGTAACAAAGTATGAAGAATAAAGGGCGAAGACTGACCAGGAACCTCTTGTAGAGCAAACAAGTCTTTAACAGTCGTCACATTCTTCCGTGACAAAACCTTTTTCAGATGTAAATGTAGGGGATCCTTGTGGCGCATGAGGTACTTCTCAGCATCACCAACCAGTGGAACTCCCTACAACAACCAAATTTACTAATGCCGAGGAACAAAGTTAGATTCCTTAGAAACTTGTACAGAAATTCAATTCACTGACCTGACCGAAAAGGATATCATAGACAATGATATAAACCAATTCTTGTTGCTTCTGCAAAAGCAAATAAATATGAAATTGTTAGTGTTATGTTGTAAAACAATTAAACAAAATGTGAACAGATTCAAAGTTATTTATCACCTTCCACTTGGTGTTGAGAATAGAAGCAGCTTGCAAAACATCATTGATAATGGAAAGATCTGAGAATGTAAAGAAAAGGAATGAATATCATAATTATAAGAAATGAAAGAGAAAAAGTGAGATAGTTACGTTTAAGGGTTTGACAGATGAGAGCAAATGTGGCTTTCTTGTTTCTGATGGAAGGATGATAAACGAGGGTTTTGATGGAAGCAAGAGCACGGCGGTTAGCGTCTCCTTCGAGTACGGTTCTCAGTATCTTTGCGGCTTCTCTCCGTGCGAAATAGGCTGACCTCTCTGCGCCTTTCAATTTGGCCGTGTTTACTTTGTTTTCTTCTTTGCCGGCGCCGGCGCCGGCGGCCGCGACATTCTTCTTGTTCTTCTGAGTTGCCTTTCGGATTCGCATCGCAGGGTTTAGGGCTTTTGGTTTAGCTCAGCTTCACGCACTATGTTTCGTGATGTTCGTGTACCTTTAACGCTTGTTTTGTTTCGTCTTATGTAGCAAGTATTGTTCAATAAATCAAAGAAAAAGAACGAAAAAAAATATAGTGGGGGACTCAACCAAAATCCACTCAAGAAGTAATAAATCTAAAGAAAGATAAACCAAGCTTTTTCTTTACAAAATCTACCCTCAAAAAATCATGAATTAAACTGAAGTTAGTGTAATATGCAATCGTTAGCCATATATTTGTTAGAGCATTCGCACAACTATTCACCTCTATGAAGATATGGGATGTCACAAAAGACGTATTAGCTGTAATATTGACTCAATCAATTCATCTGGTACGGATTATCCAAGGCACTATGAAGGGAGGAGAGAAGGTACGCATCACCGCCAAAGAATCTGATTATAACCAAATTTTACGTCAATCCTTCTCATAGACGAACTCAATTGCTAATATAGCATCGGTGAGTTCGGCTATGAAAGAATTTAAAACACCAAGAAAACTAGCAAATGCTCCCAGAAATCTTTCGTCAAAATCTCTAGCAATACCACCACAGGCTAGAGGATCAGGATTGCCTAAGGAAGCATTGTCACAATTGATTTTAATTCAATCCCACGGGGAGGCTTCCAAATAACCTCCACAATATTAGGAGCACAAGGAGGCTGCATAATAACTCTAAAGCACTTCAATATCTCAAAATCGTGAATATTGATGAAGGAATGAGTTTTGAAATTGTTACCCAACAATCCACGAGCTGAAACTATACCAGTAATAAAAGAAGAATAAGAGATTCTAACCTCCTTGAACCTGACATTGTTGCACGCTAATCAAATAGCATTAATCAGATAAATAACAACAACAATAAAAAAATAAGCTTACATTGATCAGACCAAGACCGCTTACAGATGCTCCAAATATCTTTCCAACACCTGATCTGATCTCTGACATTCATAAGTTTTTCCAACTAGGCGCACATTTTCTTTGCAAAATTGCACTCAAAGAATACATGAGAGGCATTATCTTCTGCAACAGAACATAAACTGCACATAGAAGGAAAAGTAATATATCTTCTCTTTAACTGATCATCAGAAGGAAGCTTATTACGAATCAAACTTCAAACCAAAAAGGATTTAGAAGGCGCGATAAACTTCGCCCAAACCTAACTCCACCATTCCATTCAAACACCTGGATTCTGCTTATAATTGTAGGCCTTTTTGAAAGAAAGGTGCCCAAAAGCCGAGAATTTCCAAATTCTCTTATTCGGACAAAGATCGAAAGGAATGTGGCAATTAATGATTCTGACCTGAATGGAGTTCAGAATTAAACTGATAACATTCTAAAAATTCCAACTCCTGTCAATTATAAAAGAACTAACCAACAGATCCTCGAGCAAAGAAGGACTTCCCAAATCTAAATGCAACGGTTCCCCACACTAACGATCATAACAAAAGCTGATAGAATTATCGTTGTCAAGAAGCCAAGAGGAATTATCATGAATAAACGGAATATCAGATTTGATATTAGTCCAAATCGAAGAGAAGATGTGATGGTTAATAAATGTATGCTTCCTTATAACCCCTTCTAAGAAGAGAAGCCCAAGATTCCCTCTGTGATACTGTGGGAGAACTGACTTGGTTGTTTTGCGTTTTATCGCAAATGTTACGGTTAGCAAGACTCGCCATTGACTTTTCTTTTATCCAAAAGGAAAGGCTGAAAAGAACAGGAAAGACCTTTGAGATTGTTTCTTGAGTTCGGGGGGTAGATTATGAAAAGGAAAGGTGTTAGCACCATTTTCATCCATAGTTATTTATGGGCTCTTAGTTGCTTGCTAGATCACTCGCTTTTGATTGAAAATGTGTTTTGTGTGGTTTTTGAAAGTATTTTGAAAAGGCGTATTCGTTTAGGAAAATTTTGTAATAGTTCTCGTTCGTAAGAACGTATACAAAGTGTTGATCTTTTGAAAATGTTTCAAGTTTGGAAAATATTTTGAAAGTGTTTTTGAAATTGTTTGGTGTTTGTTTTGAAAATAAGCAAGAGTGTTTGATTTGAAATTGAGCAAGTAACTAGGAACAATCTATCTACTCAAAAGTCTTTGTTCATTTCTTCATTTCCTTTGATATTGTTATCTCGCCATTGATTTGGTGAGAAGCCTTATCTTTGGATGTAAAGGGACGGGAGTGGGTCATCGTATAGCCATGGTAGCAATGTTGTGAAATATCTTAACAATTCTCTTTGAGGAACTAAGATCATTTTGAAAGACAACATTTGATAGTGTCATCGAGAGACTATGATCTTGTATTTTGATTATCTTTTGCTAAGATATCCCACATGCATAACATGGCCATTTTTATAAGCCAACAAAGTGGAATTACCCTAAGGGTGCAAGTGTGTTGATTTACATGCATTATTTTGTCTTGGATTAGGGTTTGCTAACTCGTTAATTTTATCTTTCCATACAAATCTTAATTACTAGCATTTATATAAAGCGATAAATTGTGAAAAGTAAAAATACTAAGCTATTACATCATTAGGGAAGGGGTGTATAAATTTATAAATGGGAATTTGCAAGAAAATTAAACCTAATTAACTATTACAACCATATTGAATAAATGTACAAGAATTGAAAATGAAAATGCAAAAATGCAAATGGATAAAGAAATGATTTTGTTTGATTTTTTTAGGAGAGGGTTTTAATCTTGACTTAATTAAGAAAATGATTAATTAAAAAAAACTAAAACCTAAATTAATTAACAAAGAAAATAAGTTAAAAATAATTTTTAGGGTTTTTTATGAAAAAAATTTAAATTAAAAATAATATGGAAATTAATTAATTAAAATAAACCTAAGTTCTAAATTAACTTTAATTAAGAAAATAAAATGATATAATAATTAAGCCTAAGTCTAAATATTAAATAATAAAAAGAAATTAATTTGTTAAAAGAAAATAAAGTTTTTGGTCTTTTTGTTTTATGAAGAAAATAAAATAAATAAGTATAAATAATAAATAAAATATTTTTTAGATTTTTATTAATAAATAATAATAATGATAATAATAATAATAATAATAATAATAATAATAATAATAATAATAATAATAATAATAATAATAATAATAATAATAATAAAAGTAATATAAAAATGAAAATAAAATAAAGAAAAAGAAAATGAAATAATAAAATAAGAGCCAGGGGTATAAGCATAGTCAGGGGCTAGCAAAAAGAAAAAAAATGGAAGGCCCAATTGTTGAAGGCCCAGCGCCTATTTTCAAACAAAAAAAGGAAAAAATATGAAAAAGAACCAAAAGGGTACCACTGGGGCTCGAACCCGGGTCTCTAAGGTAACAGGCGTACGCTTTAACCACTGGGGTGGTGACACATTCGTTAACTTAAACAAAACAATAAATATGTAACATAAGTTTTGCCATGAATGTAACTTCATCTTCAACCTCCAGCCCAAGGACCTGTAACTTATTAATTTCTCATCCATTCACAAAATTTCCAACATCAAACTTGTTAGAAATTTCCTCACGATTCTGAATATGTAAATAACTTAAGCTAATTCTCAAAGATGAGCATGAATTTCTAACAGTACCAAATTCTGACCTAAATATTTTTAGAGGTTCAAACTCAAAATTCTCCCTACTCAAGCAACATAAATGAAATCTACGGACATGTATAATTTCAGGGCAATGATGTCTACATTTTATCTTCACAAATGCAAGCCTAACAATGCCTAAATATGAAGATAGAAGTTCAAGAAAAATACCTCAAAACTGGAAATCGTGAAATGAGTTTAAGCTTGATTCAAGGTGCTGCAATGATCAGGTTAGCTTCCTTGAGTCTCTAGGAAGCTAATGCAATGCTTAGCTTGAGTTGAGAGTGGCTGAAATGGCATGGGGAAGTCCAACTGCAATGCTCTGTTTTTGGTTATGGAGGATGATGGAAATGGAGTTACAGTTCAGGAACAGGGACAGGGATGGTTTGTATTTGATATGAGGAAGCTTTTGAAACTAAAAGGCCAAGAAATGCACGAGGGAAATGGAAGTTTGAAGTTTAAAATAAAAAATGACACAAAAATGGATTTTTTTGCAATTTCTGACTAACTCAGTGTCCAAGTTCAAAGCTCGGGCAATGGAGGTAATCAATCCTCCAAAAGAAATAACGCCCCATTTATCAAAGCGAGAGACATGTGTGCAATCATAAATGGGACAACATTAATTTTTAAACCAGTGAGACTTCCTTGCAAAAACAGAAGTTCTTTTGCATTTACCTTGTTTGGATTCTCCCGGGCAAAAATAGTACAAGCCAATAAATAACGGAAAACACGAATGACTGGGTTATGGATCATTGAGGCAAGAATACCCTCAAAAGAGGAAATGGTGGAACTGGACAATCTAGCCCAAAAAGAAAATACCTCAATCGACCAATCAGAATCCAAAGGGGTCTCACTGATAAAACCTTCCCCATGAGACATGTCCAACAACTCTGCTAAAGCATCGGTAGTGTACTCATATTGAACATTAAACATTCTAAATTTTACCGTACCGATCATGCTAGCTGTGTTGGGACAGACAGTATAAATCAATGAACTTAAAAATTCTTTGGTCAGCCTCTCATAGGTAGGTTCTCTCCTAGCAAAAATATTGTGCAATTCTAAAGTGTCTAATATGTGGAAAACACTGTGATAAATTCCTAAAGTGTACAAACTGTCAGTATCAATATACCTTGTCGGAGCAATTTCTTGTGTCTGCAATTTCTCAAGAATTTTTCTCTGCCTTGACCCCGGTTTTCCATCACGAAGCAAAAATCCATCGAACTCCATTGTTGCCATTATTGGTGAAAGAGGAGAAAAATTGGTTTTTATGGAAAAAAGGTGAAATGGTAGTTTGTGTATTTTTTAATGAGGGAAATGAAGTGGTGGAATAGGAAATGTTAGTGGGGTTGTGAATAAATGGGAAAGT